ATCCACTTTGTACAGGAGTGTGGTTTCACAGTGGTTGCTGTAATTGCAGATAATAGTGCTGTCAATCGCAGAGTTTACAGTGATCTCCTGAAACCAAGCCAAACTTTTATTGAGAACCCAGATTTTGCTAATAAAAAAATATTTTTACTGCATGATTCTGTGCACTTGCTAAAATGCATGTGGAGGAACTGGATCAACCAGAAGGACACAAACCAGACATTTATTTATCCTTTAATAACTGGACAAATGCTAAACGCCTGTGATACTGATAGAGCTGCAGAAGCTAACTTTTCTCATTTAAAGAAACTGTATTATAGTGAGCAAAAGAATATTGCAAAACTGGCACCTAAACTTTCCCACAAAGCCATCTATCCCTCCAGCATGGACAGACAGAATGTTCCTCTTGCTTTGGCAATTTTTAATGAATGTTTTAATGTTGCTGCTCTGCGTCTAGTAGGCAGTAATGAAACAGCAGATTTTATTGAAGCCATCCTTAGATGGTGGCATATTGTTAATGTGAAAAGTAAATTTATAGGTAAAAAGACACTGAACTCATTCTCAAATCCTGTATTGTCAAATGATGATGAACAAGTGCTTATCTTGAACAGTTTGCTGAATGGCTAAGAAAGTGGGACAAGCTGCCTGGCTGTCAAGGAAAACTGACCAAGGAAACACACAGTGCACTGCTGCATACAGTGACCGCAGTGCTTTCTCTAATCAAATATCTATTTGTAACCACAGAAGCCAGTTTTATACTTCTCGGAAAGTTACAGACTGACAAAATTCACCCAGTAATGGATTTCATGGATTATGTAACTTCAATTTGGACAGCTACATGGTAAGTAGTTTCTGTTGTGCTTTTAGTTTCTATGTCATATTGTGAATATGTGAGTAGTTTCTGTTGTGCTTTCTGTTTCTATGTCATACTGTGAATATGTCAGTAGTTTCTTATGCGCTTTCTGTTTCTATGTCATATTGTGAATATGTGACTAGTTTCTGTTGTGCTTTGTTTCTATGTCTTATTGTCAATACCTAAATCAAGGGCTGTTCAACTAAGTCAATTTAGGTTAACTCAGAAGCCAACATTGTAAAATTAGGGATCGTTATGGGCCAGCAGTCCAAGTCCCAGCTTAGAAAAACCATTATTGCATTGCAACCAGCAGTGATCCGCGGGCCACTCGCTAGGCCTCAGCGGGCCAAATTTGGTCCGCGGGCAGACTGTTGAATAGCCATGAGCTTACTGCTATACTTTTTGTGGGCTAGTACTCAGGGGACGGCCGGGAAAAAAAAAAAAAAAACAGGTACTGTCTGAGTGAAAAAGTAACAACGTTAGCCAGCGGCGGTGACGTCACGTCCCGCTGATGACGTCAGTAGCTAGGCCTGTACTAAAGTTTGGCCATGAATTAACCTTGGCATCCGTGTCGACCCAAACCAAACTGGACCGTAAGCCTTCTTAGTTAACAGTTTCTGTCATTAACGGATAGTTTTTGATCGAGTGAAGCGTCGTAAACCACAACACAAAGTGCCAATCGCCCCTTTGGGGTAAAAAGAAAAATGAGTAGGCAGCGGGGAATCGAACACCCGTTATACACGTGAAGGGCGGAATACTTACAACTCTACTACCGAAGACTGAAGACTTTAGGTCAGATATCGCAGCCTAGCTGTAAACCACAGCACAACGTGTCAACCGCCCTCTCAAGGGCGAACGAATATTACCCGTGACATGAACATTGAGCATCATGTCGCCGCTAAACCCCATAATCGGACAGAAAAAAAGCGTAGATACTGCAGTCTAGCTCTAAACCACAACTAAACGTGGCAGCCACCCAGTTAGATCCTTAAAAAAAAAAAATTATATGACCCAGTGGGGAATCGAAGCCCTATCACCCGAGTAAAAAAAGCGAAATGCTTTCAACTAACCACGCTACAGAATACTCAAGTATTATGTAGAAATGAAAGTATATAATAAGAATGTGAAGGTCGGTGTTGCACAGTCAAAGGTGGCCAATTCATTAAAATTAAATCCAGGCGGGCAACGAAACAAATAATGATTTGACCGTTGCTGAAGCTACGTCGCTCGTGATTAGTGTGATTTTATGACAAAAAATAACGCTTTGAGTCAGAGGCAACGTTGTGTGAAAATGTGAAAGCAATCGGTTCAGTAGTTTCCGAGTTTAGAGCTAACGACACCGGAAAATTAAGATTTTATTAATATAGATTATGCACTTAATCAAAGCCTCAGCCCGACCCCTAGAAAATTATAAGGGGACAGTTAATCTCCCCCCCCCCCTCCCTCACAAAAGATTTATTGGGAGCCGCACGCCTGACATTAGCTTGATCCAGGGCTTGGTAGTAGCGGTTAGGGTCAGGTTAGTGTCACTCCTTTGCTCACAGGGCTTCAGATATCAACCCCCTCTCATCCCCGCCCCCTTCCCCGCTCCGTTTCCTTAGCTTTCAAAGGCTGTTAACTCCGGCGTAAAATTTTGATTGCTAGTGTCCATTTCTCGACGTTGGTTCTTGCTTCAGAACTTGAGTTTTGCATGCATATCCGTTTTACAGACCTGGTTTATGTGTGTGACTAGTAGGCTGATGCACTCCAGCTTCGAAGGAAGAAGACGTAATCGCATTCAAAATCACCGTGCTATATGAGCAAAGATCATTTCACACCAAAAGCATCTAAAAAGGAAGAATGAGCAATAAAGTGTTTTCCTGTTTGAGATTAAATCGACTGTAGTCAATCTATCAATCCCTTTACTGATAAATGTATCAAGGGTAAACACGTAAAATAAAAACAAGACGTAATAAAGAATGCAGCAAAACTGAATAGAGATCAAATCTTTATTTACAGCTAAAATTTGTAAACGTTTTCAGGGAGGAAATGCATTGAATAGGATTATGTATAACTAAATGTAACATGCGAATTTTGTAGTATGCGCAATCAAACATTAAATTTGACAGAAATCAGAAATGCGCGCGAACACACACACGCGCGCACACGCAAAGCACCACATCAGAACTGTTAAATGTTTGGGAATAAAACAGTCATTTATATGAATGTTTCTGAAAACAAATGAATTACACACTCTTTTCCTTCGGCATTCTTAAAATTCACAATGAAATAAAAATGTAAAAATGATAACGGTTGACATCAGACACATAAACAGACCTCATACTGTGTTGCTCATTTTTTTGGATCATTTTCTTGATATTCTGTGTCGATTGTCGTGCTTGTCGATCCTGCTTCAGTCAGCAATAATAGGTTAGTTGCGTATCCTTTACAGGACGTTGCAGAACCAACCCCAACAGACCCTGGCTGTTGTGTGGTTTTTCTAGGCAAATTTACGTCCAGTAGTTTGCCATTGCTTTTTGGACGGTGGGCTTTCTTGATACCACTGTCGAAACCAACGCAAAGCGCATGGCCCGCAGCTGGGATCGAGCCCGGCACCCCGGTATTACGAAGCGTTCACATCGACTTAGCCACAGAGCCGACGCCGGCAATAATTCCGTTCTCAAACTGTGCCTGGACAGCCGCTAGTATCAACAGTTATGAGACAGAGATTAGGGCGCTATTTTGGACACTTTTTGAGAAGAGCGGAGCAGAGAATCACCAAACAGGTATTGAAATGAGAAACAGATGAACTGATAAAGCGAGAACCAACAAAGTTAAACCCTAAGGCGAACGCTGATGAGGGATGCCAAAGATGCTGGACTGAATTCCATCCATGATATCGAAGTGATTGCACAATACAGAAGGGAATGGAGAAACAGACTGTAAGCCCTACGTGACATAATCATACAATATAACAACAACAACCAAAACATGCAACACTTAATACAACCAGCGAGGAACTACGTTAGTGGGAGAAAGCAAAGTTCCAAGAGAGAATGTTTACACATGATGATAGCATCAACAGGTGGAATGGAAAGGGGTGCTGAAGTGTGCCATCATGGCGGAGGGAGATATGCTCCGGATCCATTACAGTTCAGAAACTGAAATGTGTTCGTGCGCGTGATCACCTAACGTTGTGAGAAGAGAAGCGTTGGTAACGAGAGGATTTAGTGAGTTAGAGACAAACGATAGTAAAAGAGAGAATGGAGGAATGTGAGACTGCGAGGGGTAGAAAGTGACTTATATATATATATATATATATATATATATATATATATATATATATATATATATATATATATATTATATATATATATATATATATATATATATATATATATATATATATACACACACGAGTTTAGAGAGAAAGAATGAGATGGAAAATGACAAAGACATATAGTGTGAGAGTCAAGACAGGGGTGGGCGGGGGAAAAGAATTAGGAACACACACACACACACACACACACACACACACACTCAGAGAGAGAGAAGGGGCGAGTGAGGTGTGTGAGATAATTTTGTAGAAGCCCGTGGAAGACTATCAGCATTTCAAATTCACAAAATTATTACTTTATTTTATTCAATTTCTCTTACTTCGGTGTACCTCTGCGTTATTTAATTATCTTTTTAGCTCACCCCATTTGTGTTGCTTCTTAAATTGTTCTCTGTCATAAAATAATTCATTTTCATTATTGTCAGAGCTGAGGGCAATACTCAGCTTCATTTTCTCAAGAGGTTGGGTAAGATGAAAGATACTATTTAATAAAGCTAATGTTTCGGGCTGAAATAATACAAGCCGGACAAATCTAAATTTGTGTGCCACTACAGACAGATGTGTTTTAGTAATTTCTAGTATGTGTTCTTTGCTGTATCAACAACACAGATGATACTTGCTTCAACAATGGAACATTTTCAGTATCAGATAAAAGTATGTTTTGTTAATGAACATATGAATAAACAGAATTATAGTGTATGGATGAATGCGCTGAAAAACTTTAGTCAAATGCCTTTGGATACATCTTGAACATAATGTACAAAACCCCCCCCCCCCCCCCATTCTGCTCAATCTTTTTAAAAGCCTTATAACAAGCCGTAAATATGAAAACATTTATTCTAGTTTTAGAAGTCCTGATATTTCATATCTCTCTCCAAGTTTAGGAAGCCCGTATGCCTTAAGGATGTTGTCTGCTTCTTGTCGACTTTCTGGTGACAGAGCTCGCCTTGAATCCATTGCCAGATCGTGAGCGACACCTCTGTTGAAGTCCACTTTGAGAGCTTCAGCTGCAACACTCAGATGCTCGGTTCTAATATCTAAGCGCTGTAGAAGAACTGAAAGTGATCTTCTGGGGTTGTTCATGAAATCTTCGTATAGGATTGACCCAATGTTGTAGCCTTTATACCGCAAGTCAGAACACTGTGAAATGCTGGCTGCCCATGCAGCTGTTAGAATGCCAACACTGTCCAGTTTCTTCGGGATTATCCCTGGTACTTTCTTCTCATTGAGAAAGACGTGATAGTAATAGAAATAAGATCTGACAAAGGGGAGGAGCGTTGACAGAATGCTGCTGTCCATGATAAACCGAAGAGCGTTCGGAGCTGGATCCTGCTGGAGTAAACTGAGACTAGACATGATACTTTTAACACTGTTTCTGTACATGAAAAGGTACCTAAATTTGGGGAATGCTTGGACGATCTCTTCAAGAAGGCTGGTGGTGCATGGCCTGGCTTTGACAAAGACAGCACTGTAGCGATCATCGGGTTTGCAGAGAAGTTTGACACAGCTGGCGAGGAGCTGCTTGTACTCACTGCCCTGAATCAGCTTGTTTTTAAATAGGAAACCAAGTGTTGTTATGGCATCCGGTTCTGACAACACCAGCATACCTGGAATTCTGCTCATCATCTGAAATTATAGTAACAGAATGTTGCTTTGAAATCTCGTGAAAAGTTATTATATTTCTTTATGTCTAGTCGGCGTTTGTGGCCTATGCGTTGCAAACGCGCTTCGTAATGCCGAGGTGCTGGGTTCGTTTAAACTGCGTGTGATTTGGCAGCAGACCGACTTGCATTTGATAGCATTATCGAGGCCGATTGTCCAGTAGCAATGTCAAACTACTAAAAGTAACAATACCTAGAAAAATCAGAAACGCCCCCCCCCCTCCTTTCCCCAAATGCTAAGATTGATTCTGCAACGCCTTATAATGAATACCAACTTTATTATTTAGAATGTCTAAGTATTCAACAAATAATACGAACCAGTAGTAAAGAATGTGTGATCTATATATGTTTTGAAATTCTATTCTGTTTTCCGCTACTATTTAAGAAATTTATACATTGTCAGAAAACAACGTTATATTCCGTTTACCTCTCTTGAAATTCAGTTATTTTTCTTTCTGGTATCTTAGAATATGACATACAAAAACAAAAGTAAAAGATATTGTTTTTATATCTCTTGAAATCTGGTTCTGTTTTAACTCTTTCTGAAATAACAGTGACCAGTTTCAAACAAAGAAAGGGGTATAATTATATATTTTACATTTGGTTTGAGCATGCTAAAGAAATATGGCTAGATATGTTAACATCGTCTTTTCGTTGTGTTTGCTATGACTTTAAGTATTGAAGACAAAAATCTCCCGGTACTGACAGAGTTAACATGTTTAGTTCGTATATGGAGGTGAGACATCGATGAAAACAGACAAGCCATTTAAGGGCGGGGAAAGTGCACTACAAAAGATACAATTAACGAAAATAAAAATCCACCTGCTGTTTCTTTATTCGTCCAGTATGTTTAGGTTAGAAATAATTGCATTGTATCTGCGTAGTACAGCAACTCTGCTGTATTTGTCCTTTCGGCCGACACAACCGACTTCAATGTGTTTGCTGAAAGGTTTGCCTTCTCAAAGACAAATGTAATTTTTGAAAAGCAGACTAAACTTCAGATTGATCTGATAATTGAAATATAAAGAGACTGAACTGGTAGAATTCATGATTAAAAATAAAATTAACATCATGGGGAGATCGGATATAAGAAAAAGAGGACAAGGTATGAATACATAACATAAAAGGCATTAGAATAGAAAATAACGACATGTGAAATGCGCTGTTTCTACAAAGTCACTAGCAACACTAGACGAGACAGGGTAACGAATACCAGCATTAGAGAAAAAGTTGGAATAAGACCATGTCTGGATTATTTTGACAGGCAAAGAATGAAATGGTTTGGTCATCTAGTGAGAATACAGCCAGACCAGACTGCATATGGGACTTTTTACAGTAAAACATCTGAGAGGAAGGCGTGAGGAAGACCAGGAAAGATGTGGATAAATGGTGTAGATAAAACCTGCAAAAAGAGGAACAAATTCATCACCCAAGCACAAGGCAAATACACGACACCGGGCTTCAAACTGGTATCAGTGAGACGACAAAGGAAGAAGAAGACTGAGATATACAGTACTCAAAAAGAAAAAAAACCTGAAAAGTTAAAGGAGAACTGGTCAATCTGCTGGAAAAGGCGCAGGGCAAATGGGTTGAAATCTACGAGTATATACTTATAAGGAAAACGTGAGCACCAAATCTTTTAAACATTATTTTCAAAACTCAGAATTTCAACTGCCCCCCCACACCCCCTACCCCCCCCCCCCCCCCCCCCCCCCCCCCCCCCCCCCCCCCCCCCCCCCCCCCCCCCCCCCCCCCCAGCTTAAATTAAGTTTGACTATTCACGAATACATCTCATTAAGTTAACTAAGACATAGTTATTACATGGAGATTCTGGCATTGTCAACTGGTCACTTAGTTTTCCACTCAGTTTTTTTAGACAGATAATGTTAAATAAAGCGAAGGTAAGTAACAAAAGCAGTCTTAATTGTAAAGATTCACTATCTAGAGACGACCAGTTATATTGTCCCATACCATAGGAATTCAACAGGGCGGAACTTCACGGAGCGATGTTGCTATACACTTCATAATAAATATGAGTGCGATCTATAGAGCTTTTAGTCGCTCTAAGGAAACAGGCCAGTTTTGCAAAAGGAGTAGTATACTACACATCACCACCCACAGAGTCGATATTTTGGGGTAGGTGGGGGGGGGGGGGAAGGGTTATCGTGTTTACTCGTGCCTAACTGAATAACATACTGTGTATTGGAGACTGCAGTGGTCAAATGGCTATCGCTCTTACCCGCCTGGAAGTTTAACTATGGCCAAGGTTCGAGCAAAGAAATGTACCACTGCCTCCTACCAGGCATGTCGTAAGAGGCAAATAAGTTGTGTTCATGTTTGCTACATCATCACATAAATATCGTTACAAAAGCCAAATAATTTTGAAAAAAAAGTCTCCTCAGACTGGATCTCACTGGACAAAGAAATTAGGTGGAACCCACATAGGTATATAAATAAAGGTAGACCATAAACACATGGAGAAGGGAACTAGAAATTGAAGTGAATAAGGCAGGAAGGACATACGGTGAGCTGCATGCGATAGCAAAGAATATGACGATTATGTGTAAGGGGAATCCGATCCTAAACTAAAGGGAAAGGGGAGGGGGGAAGGGTAAAAGGGTAAAAGGCGGAAGAAGAAGAAAGACTATACGGAGAAGAGAATTGGTCATTCATGTGAAAGTATGAGGAGGAAGAAAAAAAACTATACGAAGAAGAGAATTGGACACTGAGTTGAAAGGATAGAGAAGACAGGAGGTAAGCTGCAGTAATTAACAATTACAGAACTACATCGGGCTGGTGTGGCTGAAAGGGGTACCACAATTATAACTCCTTTGGAGGTTGAAGGGAATATCTGTGATTTGCTCTGTTGACTTGCCATCCACAACGAAGAAATGACAAGTTGGTTGAGACTATATTTTGCTGTAGAACAAAGGCCATAAGAAGAAATCTTGCAAGCATATTACAACTTAGTATATTATACCATAAGTGTCATTATAAATGACTTATACCGTTAAGCCTCATGGGGAGGAATGAGTCTAGATTACTTCAGTAACAATTAATTAAAATGAAGCAAATAGCTGAATCCTAGAAACTGAAACACAAATTCGAGTAGATTTCAAACTGTTTCACCAAGGTAAACGTAGGGCAACGACCATTTCCTTTTGCCTACAAAGTTCCGGTTTCAATCTGCCAATCGCTGAAGCTTCCGCGTATCGAAGTAATCTACGGTTAGCCGAACTGTAAATAATTCGGAATGCATCATCCCTGTTAATGATGTGCCCGGAATTTAGAATATGGCACGCAATTGCTGATGATGGATTATTTCGACAAGTTACCTGATTCGTTGTTGTTGAGGTGTTAGTGTTCTGCATTGCTTTTACCAACCATAGTGGAATATGTTCAGCAACCCGTTGTTCCAGTCGTCGATCAGTTCTGCCCACATATGCAGCGTTACAGGTGCATTTAAATTGGTATATACAGTTAGATCTGGCGTACGTCGACACTGGTTCTTTTACTGGTGGTGTAGGAATCCTGGTGGTTTTAAATCTCATAACAGGCATGGCTGCGTAAAAGGTTTGACGGACTGCTGTTTTGAGTCGGTCATATATACGTTGCATGACGTCGTCTCCCCAACGTTAGATGTATATAGGCTAGTTTTTTTGGCACCGACATTTCTAAGGTAACTGGTTTAGGCGGCTGGCAATGGCACTTAATAAAGCCACCTGGATATCCATTAGAAAGCAGTGTTTGTTTAATCGTATCAAACTCAGCTTGTAGCGTGTCGATGGAACAAATCTTCCTAGCACGGTGGAATAATGTCCTCACTAGACCACGTTTGTATTGCAAAGGTGCAAAACTGTTGAAATGGATGTATTGGCCCGTCCAAGTGTCTTTACGAAAAACTGACCTTTCAATAGTACCATCATCTCTACGTCTGATTAAAATGTCTAAAAAGGCCAAAGTGTTACTACTTTCATGTTGTAGGGACACAGTGATGTTTTTGTGCATTTGATTCATTTTGGTGTGAAACGACTCTGCCTGTTGTTTGTTAGTGGCGATGATAAATATGTCATCAACGTAACGTCGGTAAAATACTAAACTATCAATATCCAAAGACATCTGTTCCTCCAAGTGTGCCATAAAGATGTCCGCTAAAATAGGGCCTAGAGGGCTTCCCATGGCCACACCATCAATCTGGCGGTAAGACTGCTTTAGAAAACTGAAATTGATGTTCGAAGTGCACAACATTAAAAGTTCTTCAAGTTTTGAAATAGGTAAACCTACCTGCAGATGTTTATTTTCTATACGGTCACATATAATTTTCACGGTTTCTTCCAAGGGCACGTTTGTAAATAGTGATGTTACATCCATTGATGCCATGTATTTTTGATTTACATTCATTGTGTCCAGTATTTCTGCCAGTTCAAATGAATCTTTGAGTATTTTGGGCTCAAATGATTGTCGTACTGGTTTTAGTAATTCCGCTAGCCATTTAGCTAAACCATGTTGAGCTGAGTTTATCATTGACAGGATGGGCCTAAGGGGCATTCCAGGTTTGTGTACTTTTGGAAGACCATACAACTGCGGTATTAGTGAGCCACACGGTGTGAGCATCTTAGCGGTAGCTTCGCTGATGAATTTTCCTGCCAAGAGTGATTTGATTACTTTCTTCATTTTCGCTTCCATGTTATTAACGTAATTTACTTTGGAATCCAGCAGAAATTTTGATTGATCAGATAATATTTCTTCCATTTTGGTTTGATAGTTTGACTTGTCCATCAGAACTACACCATTTCCTTTGTCTGGTTTCAGTATTATTAATTGTTCGTTGGCTTTTAATGTTTTCAGAGCAATAATATGCTCTTTAGATAATGGACACTTTTGCTTAGACTGGGATGTGCGGTACTGATGTTCCAAATCCACCAATCTAGCTTTTAACCAACCAACCGAATCGGTAGACGACGGGGTCAATGTCGACAGCTGATCAAAGAACATTTCAAATTGAGCTTGTGACTCGATGGGGTTGATTTGTTTAGGTTTTACGCAGAACTTTAATCCGTAAGCAAGAGCTTCAGTTTGTAGTTTACTGAGTGTAAACGAAGACAGATTAATCACATGTTTCTCAGCATTGTCAAGCACAGAAGTGGTAATCTTTTCCGAACTCAATGACTTCTTTAAACGTGTAGTTTCTTGAATTTTCACTTTACCCAATGTTTCAATACAAAACTTTGTGAACTTTAAATAACAATACAAAGTCAGATCGTTAGTAATACTGTAGGCCGAACTGTGAATTCGCCTTAGATTGATCAATTTCGATTGGATTTCTTCTATGTATTTTTTCGTCATTCGCCTCAAATTTCGTACGTTGGGCAGATTTTCTCAGCTCTCAGCGATCTAAGATAACGGTGAGGAAATATTCCAGATGTAAAGGCATTCTCCAAGAAACCGTAACCGACAATCCTGTACTGCGATTTTGCATTTCAGTTTAAATAATCCATCCAGTCGCTTCACGGTTGAATCAACCGTGAAGCGACTGGATGGATTATTTAAACTGAAATGCAAAATCGCAGTACAGGATTGTCGGTTACGGTTTCTTGGAGAATGCCTTACATCTGGAATATTTCCTCACCGTTATCTTAGATCGCTGAGAGCTGAGAAAATCTGCCCAACGGTACGAAATTTGAGGCGAATGACGAAAAATTACATAGAAGAAATCCAATCGAAATTGATCAATCTAAGGCGAATTCACAGTTCGGCCTACAGTATTACTAACGATCTGACTTTGTATTGTTATTTAAAGTTCACAAAGTTTTGTATTGAAACATTGGGTAAAGTGAAAATTCAAGAAACTACACGTTTAAAGAAGTCATTGAGTTCGGAAAAGATTACCACTTCTGTGCTTGACAATGCTGAGAAACATGTGATTAATCTGTCTTCGTTTACACTCAGTAAACTACAAACTGAAGCTCTTGCTTACGGATTAAAGTTCTGCGTAAAACCTAAACAAATCAACCCCATCGAGTCACAAGCTCAATTTGAAATGTTCTTTGATCAGCTGTCGACATTGACCCCGTCGTCTACCGATTCGGTTGGTTGGTTAAAAGCTAGATTGGTGGATTTGGAACATCAGTACCGCACATCCCAGTCTAAGCAAAAGTGTCCATTATCTAAAGAGCATATTATTGCTCTGAAAACATTAAAAGCCAACGAACAATTAATAATACTGAAACCAGACAAAGGAAATGGTGTAGTTCTGATGGACAAGTCAAACTATCAAACCAAAATGGAAGAAATATTATCTGATCAATCAAAATTTCTGCTGGATTCCAAAGTAAATTACGTTAATAACATGGAAGCGAAAATGAAGAAAGTAATCAAATCACTCTTGGCAGGAAAATTCATCAGCGAAGCTACCGCTAAGATGCTCACACCGTGTGGCTCACTAATACCGCAGTTGTATGGTCTTCCAAAAGTACACAAACCTGGAATGCCCCTTAGGCCCATCCTGTCAATGATAAACTCAGCTCAACATGGTTTAGCTAAATGGCTAGCGGAATTACTAAAACCAGTACGACAATCATTTGAGCCCAAAATACTCAAAGATTCATTTGAACTGGCAGAAATACTGGACACAATGAATGTAAATCAAAAATACATGGCATCAATGGATGTAACATCACTATTTACAAACGTGCCCTTGGAAGAAACCGTGAAAATTATATGTGACCGTATAGAAAATAAACATCTGCAGGTAGGTTTACCTATTTCAAAACTTGAAGAACTTTTAATGTTGTGCACTTCGAACATCAATTTCAGTTTTCTAAAGCAGTCTTACCGCCAGATTGATGGTGTGGCCATGGGAAGCCCTCTAGGCCCTATTTTAGCGGACATCTTTATGGCACACTTGGAGGAACAGATGTCTTTGGATATTGATAGTTTAGTATTTTACCGACGTTACGTTGATGACATATTTATCATCGCCACTAACAAACAACAGGCAGAGTCGTTTCACACCAAAATGAATCAAATGCACAAAAACATCACTGTGTCCCTACAACATGAAAGTAGTAACACTTTGGCCTTTTTAGACATTTTAATCAGACGTAGAGATGATGGTACTATTGAAAGGTCAGTTTTTCGTAAAGACACTTGGACGGGCCAATACATCCATTTCAACAGTTTTGCACCTTTGCAATACAAACGTGGTCTAGTGAGGACATTATTCCACCGTGCTAGGAAGATTTGTTCCATCGACACGCTACAAGCTGAGTTTGATACGATTAAACAAACACTGCTTTCTAATGGATATCCAGGTGGCTTTATTAAGTGCCATTGCCAGCCGCCTAAACCAGTTACCTTAGAAATGTCGGTGCCAAAAAAACTAGCCTATATACATCTAACGTTTCGGGGAGACGACGTCATGCAACGTATATATGACCGACTCAAAACAGCAGTCCGTCAAACCTTTTACGCAGCCATGCCTGTTATGAGATTTAAAACCACCAGGATTCCTACACCACCAGTAAAAGAACCAGTGTCGACGTACGCCAGATCTAACTGTATATACCAATTTAAATGCACCTGTAACGCTGCATATGTGGGCAGAACTGATCGACGACTGGAACAACGGGTTGCTGAACATATTCCACTATGGTTGGTAAAAGCAATGCAGAACACTAACACCTCAACAACAACGAATCAGGTAACTTGTCGAAATAATCCATCATCAGCAATTGCGTGCCATATTCTAAATTCCGGGCACATCATTAACAGGGATGATGCATTCCGAATTATTTACAGTTCGGCTAACCGTAGATTACTTCGATACGCGGAAGCTTCAGCGATTGGCAGATTGAAACCGGAACTTTGTAGGCAAAAGGAAATGGTCGTTGCCCTAATGCTGGTATAAAAAAGCTGTTTATAATGTATGCGTGTGTGTATTTTTTCTCTTACTTACAGAAATGTCTGGATATCCTAATAATGGTGACAGTTGGTTCTTCTTCTTCTTTTTTTCCTCCTTCTTCTTTTTTCCTTCTTCTCTTCCTTCCTTCTTTTTCTCCTTCTACTCCTTCATCTTCTTCTTCTTCTTCTTCTTCTCCTTTTTCCTCTTTTTTTCTTCTTCTTCTTCTTCTTCTTCTTCTTCTTCTTCTTCTTCTTCTTCTTCTTCTTCTTCTTCTTTTTCTTCTTTTTCTTGTTCTTCGTCTTTTATTTCTCCTTCTTCTTTTTTGTATTACATGTATATAATTTTAAAAATCACTCTACCTGGCTAATTAGCGTAGACCCACTTCTGATGGTTGACGCCATCCACGTGACAGGAACTCGCGGACTTCCCACATCACTGGCCATTTTGTGGAAGGAAGCCAATGGCATGGTGATGACATTGACAGCATGATGGTACTGGTTTTGATACAGATACGTGCTGTGCTTGGATTTATACACGTTGTCGGTCTCTTTGACTTCTATGAACACGGCTTCTTTTCTGGTCATGCAGTAGAGCGAGACGTTTGACTTGAAGACACAGCTCGGTTGTCTGAAGCCTTTATGGGTCGTGATGAAGTTGCTAAGATCTGCCACTGAATGATCTAGATATTTTCTCTTCCAGAAGATTTCTTGAACGTGGGCGCTCTGTTTAAACTGAAGTCCCCTGGCTGCGTCACGCCGGATTCGCTCCACACCAGTGACTGCCCATGTGAACTTCTGAAAAGTCAGCACTAGTCGCCGGGTGAAGCGGAACAGTATGAACACTAAAATCTGCAGATAACATCAAAAGGAAACATTTATAAATGTCTATATCGGGAACAATATGATAATTCAACACCAAGATAGGGTAAAAGAATCGCACATATTACCACATAAAAATGTGGCTGTTACACAGAGTTTTGAGTATTTTCAGAATATAAACAATTTTTCTTTATCTTTATTTACTACTATTCTACTACTACTATTACTACTACTACTACTACTACTACTACTACTACTACTACTACTACTACTACTACTACTACTACTACTACTACTACTACTACTACTACTACTACTACTACTGTTACTACTACTACCAATATTAATACTACTTACTACTACTAATGCTGTTACTACTACTACTGCTACTACTACTACTACTACTACTACTACTACTACTACTACTACTACTACTACTGCTACTACTCCTCCTTCTCCTCCTCCTCCTCCTCCTCCTACTACTACTACTACTACTACTACTACTACTACTACTACTACTACTACTACTACTACTACTACTACTACTACTACTACTACTACTACTACTACTCCTGCTAAATCTCCCGCGTTCTGATAAATAGTTCTTGAAATGTACACGCCGTAATGAAGTCTTGGGATCGGCCGTGGTGAAGCGGTTCGACGCTCGCCTACGGATCCTAAGTCGTGGGTTCAATCAAAACGGAGCCGGACATTTTTCAAAAATGACCTTGGCTTCAAGGTGGACCCAGTCTTAAAAAGTTACCAGCTAAAGCCCTGGGAAGTAAAGGAGGCTGGCGTGTTGTTGACCGCATAACCCCGCCTATTGCCGATTGGCTGATAAAATGTAGGTATAGCACAACATGCCCAATCCGCCTCATGGCCCCGAAAAGGGTATTTTTATGACAGTCTTAGGGCATAGATTAAGTTTTTCCTAAGAACATGTCATGGTAATTCGTGTGTTTGCGAGATGGAGGCCACGCCAGAAGGGATCAGCTATCAGTGTCGTCATTATCAGGTACCTTGTGAATTGCCGTCGGTGAAAACACTTCTCAATATCTGGTTCTTAATTTATAACGTACCCCAAACACGAAATCCCCGTGGGAAATCTACAGCTGACCTGACAGTCCATTATTTCAAGGGGTGCAAGTGTGCTGTTTTTTGAGTGTTCATCTAGTGTCTTCTAATGCTAACCCTAACCTTAACCCTAACCCTAACCTTAACCCTAACCCTAAACTTGGCTGCAGACAAATCGCGAGAAACTACAACCTGAAAACCCTATAATTTTTTGGGACTGTCTCCCGTGACGTAGTCGTGACGTCATTGGTAAGTTGATTTTTAAAACTGATTCCGGTGTGACAGTGATTTACTAGGGACAAATACATCGGTGGTTTTCCTTAGAGTTTCGCCACTTTGTACAAAATTTGCCTTAAATAGCTTGCAAAGTATTTACTGGTTCCTAAATGTTGGGCTGGCAGCATTTCAGCGATGCGTATCATGAATCAGAAAAGGGAAATTTACTAACAACGTGACAAATAAATCTGCAGTGACGCACCCTTGATAAACAAAATTCCATAACTAACAGTCTATCAAAAACAAACAGCGTCGTAGAAAACTAACCCCCTCCCCCCTTATCCCTTAAACAAATTCCTTAAAGATTAGGCGGTTTCGGTTTTATGACCACACATATTCAATCAGTAAGAGAATCAAAAGAAAGGAGGTCAAAAGAAATTAAAAGAAATACTAAACTAAAAATTTTTAATTCTAATGTCAAATCAGTACTATTGTATGGGGCGGAAACATGGAGAACAACCAAGGCAATTACTAATAAATTACAGACATTCATTAACTGGCGCCTGCGCAGAATAGAGGGAATAAAATGGTATGATAGAATAACTAATGTAGAACTTTGGGAGAGAACTAAACAGGCTCCAGTGGATCAGGAAGTGAGGAAAAGACGCTGGCGTTGGATAGGGCACACACTGAGAAAACAGGAGAACAGCATAACTAGAATGTCTTTGCATTGGAACCCACAGGGGCATAGGAATAAAGGAAGGCCAAAAAACACATGGAGAAGAGAGCTGGAGAACGAGGTTAGAAAGTTTGGGAGGACATGGGGAGAGCTCCATGCAATGGCGAAGGATAGAACGACTTGGCGTGAGTTGGTTGAGGGCCTATGCTCCATTGGGGGATAGAAAGGCAGAAGAAGAAGAAGAAGAGAATCTAAATAAACACTCTAATGTCATTTTAACCCCCACCCCATGATTAAATCTATAGGGGGAAAAACATGTTAAAATATACATCCAGAAGTTAATAATTTAGATGGAGTATTCATTCACTTGCTGATTTACTTTAGTAGGATTAATCTTAAACTGTTACAATTCTTTTTGTATATGCTGATTTTGTATTGTCAATACCATTATAAATTAAAAAAAAACAATGCTGTTACTTGTTTCTGCTGGCTAATGCTTTTTTTTTTAATTATATTCTTTTACATCATATTTAAACCAAATAAACTTACCTCTAACGCTCTGTCCCTGAACATGCTCATAGCTTTGCTGAACTGCTCCAAATGATTGTTAGCTTCAGTACGTGCGTCCATTTTGCCAGTGACTTCGAGCTCTTCTTGTCTGCAGTCAAATAACACAGCAATCACACCTATGTCTAAAGTCTTCACTTCTCATACATCAAACTCCGTGGTCTGTTGAGATTCGCCAGTTCGTCGCGTTTTGGACTGCTCTCTTGTTCTCAACAGGATATTTTTCTCCCCTCTCAAGTGCGCCAGTGCTCACCATCCAGCCTGGTGGGGGAGAAAGCAGATAGGTTAATACAATGTGCAATCTCGCTCACGTCTAGACTAAACAGTTTAGAATGTAAACCCAACTGGATGCAATGTCTTGTCTTTGTGTATATGCCTGGCTCTATCGCTTTGTAATCTGCTGGTCTATTTCGCCAGATCACGGGCAAGCATCTTGACTGGGTGTAAACAATGAGTTCATTGTTTACCGTTAGGCCTTTTAAACACATAATATCTGTCGCTGAATAATGTATGTCTTTTCCATGATTACAATTTGATGTAGAAGTGCAATAAAACATGGCCTTAATCATCAGTCAGTAGGCACTTTACAGAACGTCGCTCTCTTCATGACACGACTGAAGGTCTCTCTTTCTTTAGCCATTTCTTTAACCCTATGTCATGTGCTTTAGTTGCTTCGCCTGTGTTCTGTATCCACCTTTGAAGTGAAAGAACCAACCCACATAGTTAAGTAAACAGTAAAGGACCCTTTTCCACGCCTTTAGGCGTATAGGGCATATAGGGCTAGACCTATATTTTTATTGTCCAATCGGCACAAGATGGGTGATGTGGTCAGCATCACGCCGGCCGCCTTTACTTTCCCGGGACTGCACCCGGTATCCACTCAAGGTTGGGTCGACCTGAGAGCCAAGGTAACCCACATAGGGAGAACACATATGAAACTAGATACGCTAAGATACACAGCCTAAAGACATGTTGACAATTCCCCTTCCCTCTGTCATGGAGGCTCTTCCCGCTCAGGCCAAGCTGAAAAACTGGCGTACTCAACATATTAATAACTGTCACCCGCCGTTCTTGTTGTTTTCTCGCGCGCCAATTATAAGACATCGCGACACATATTAGACCTAGAGACATGAAGTGAACACTTAGTTCCAGGGCAGGTGTGTCAAATAATCAGGTTTATCCCCAAAATATAAAATAAATACTTTGTCTAAGGACAGAGGTGAAAAATAACAAATTTCGGCATATAACATAAAACCAGATTCCGCACAAAACATAAAATAAATAACTTAACGGAACATACGCGAAAAATAACACTCGGCCCAGGGAGAGAGGTGTAAAATAACCAGGTTCGACACAAAACATAATAAATAATTCGGCCAGGGACAGAGGTGTAAAATAACCAGGTTCGACACAAAACACATAATAAATACTTGGCCCAGGGACAGATGTGTAAAATAATAAAGTTCGACACAAAACACATAATAAATACTTGGGCCAGGGACAGATGTGTAAAATAATAAAGTTCGACACAAAACACATAATAAATACTTGGCCCAGGGACAGATGTGTAAAATAATAAAGTTCGACACAAAACACATAATAAATACTTGGCTCAGGGACACATGTGTAAAATAATAAAGTTCGACACAAAACACATAATAAATACTTGGGCCAGGGACAGATGTGTAAAATAATAAAGTTCGACACAAAACACATAATAAATACTTGGACCAGGGACATATGTGTAAAAAATAAAGTTCGACACAAAACACATAATAAATACTTGGGCCAGGGACATATGTGTAAAATAATAAAGTTCGACACAAAACACATAACAAATACTTGGGCCAGGGACATATGTATAAAAAAATAAAGTTCGACACAAAACACATAATAAATACTTGGGCCAGGGACATATGTGTAAAATAATAAAGTTGGACACACAATATTAAAGAATAAATACTTGGGCCAGGGACAGATGTGTAAAATAATAAAGTTGGACACAAAATATTAAAGAATAAATACTTGGGCCAGGGACAGATGTGTAAAATAATAAAGTTGGACACAAAATATTAAAGAATAAATACTTGGGCCAGGGACAGATGTGTAAAATAGTAAAGTTGGACACAAAATATTAAATAATAAATACTTGGGCCAGGGACAGATGTGTAAAATAATAAAGTTGGACACAAAATATTAAATAATAAATACCCTGCCCAGGGACAGATGTGTAAAATAACCAGGTTCGACACAAAACAGAAAATAAATACTTGGCCCAGGGACAGAGGTGTAAAATAAGCAGGTTCTACTTCTTCTGCTTTCACCCGAAGATATTAATGCACTTTTTCTTTTTACAACAGGGCTGCGATATTTGCGCTTTTCGACTGACACGTCCGACTTTTGCAGCCGATTGTTCTTTGGATTAACCGTCCCGGTAATAAATAGCTAGGTTCGATCCAGAATACATACTTGGCTCCAGGGCAGAAGTGTAAAATTTCCAGGTTGGGTCATGACTGTCTAATTTTAGTGGCTAGTTTGTTATATTTATTTTGCCATCTTCGAGCAATACGTTAAAATATAGGCATAGTCGGCTCTGTGGCTAAGTCGATGCGAACGCTTCGTAATGCCGGGTTCGATCATAGCTTCGTGCCATGCGCCTTGCGTTGGTTTCGACAGTGGTATCAGGGAGCCTACCGTCCAGAAAGCAATGGCAAACTACTGGAACTGCTGATGTTGGTTCTGCAACGTCCTGTAAAGGATACGCAACTAACCTTCTGAGATAGTTTAATAACACCAAGGAATAACCAACTGCAAAAAAAATAGGCCAGTAAAATGGATGAACATACAAAAACTCAGGCTCGAGCACAAAGCCAGAGTCCAAATGGGCGAATAACCATGACTTTCCGCCAGAGCTTACAGCTGGTGAACAGGGAAGAAGAAACCTGTTTCTCTTTACGAAATCTCAAGATTTGGAGATGGACAGCTGCCTGCACCAAGACTCTTGAGGATTATGTTTTCACCCTTAGATACCCAGAGTCCAACAGACCTCAAACAATGAAAGCCGCATTACGTGCCTTCTTAACGCATGGGTCGGTTTGAATTTTACCCGGGGACCCCACGAGCATGGTAATGTGTTATGTTTTAAGGTTTAAACAACAGATCAACATCATGGCACAAAGGTAGTAACCCATAAGTGCCCCGTTATACTTTTAACCCAAGTCTGAGTCCGAATAATCTCATATCAGTTCACGAACTCCGTAGCACCAGCAAGGATCCTGAAATACTTTGTTAAATACTTGTTCCTTCCGGGTTGCTACCTGAAGGTTTTGCAGATCCTGTGACTTTAAACGTCACACCCCGGACGATAATTCAACAGGCTAAATCCCATATAACCCGTTAATCATCGAAGAAGTTGTATCTAGGACACCCGTAATGGCTATTTCAAGTACTACCACTATTTAACCTGTGTGGGCAAGGAGTTCCAGAACTACTTAGTAAAGTACAAGAATATTACAGCAAGGACATAACTACTTTAACACCGAAATAACCATGGTGTATGTTGGATCCCAAAGCGTGAGCTGGATGGTCCGGTTATATGGTATTTACGTAAACCGGAGCTTAGCTACAACACAACCCGATCACATAATAAGAAATGAAGACTGGACCCGCTTAAGACTCCACATAAACTCTCACACACATATCCATTACATGACTAACCCGTTCATATTACAGGAAGACAACTATAAGACCACTATGGTCACACGCGGAAAATTTTCACATTTCGGAACTATTCAAATTCAAAAACTGTTTTCAGTACTTTTTGGCAAAATTAAAATAATCAAAGCAATGTTTCCCCGTTGTAAATTTGAACAAAGAAGACACAAACAATAGACTGCACAATTTATTGCCTGGCATATTTCGCTGTATCTCATCAGGTGCATACTTCAGTAACAATTAATTAAAATGAAGCAAATAGCTGAATCCTAGAACCAGTGTCGACGTACGCCAGATCTAACTGTATATACCAATTTAAATGCACCTGTAACGCTGCATATGTGGGCAGAACTGATCGACGACTGGAACAACGGGTTGCTGAACATATTCCACTATGGTTGGTAAAAGCAATGCAGAACACTAACACCTCAACAACAACGAATCAGGTAACTTGTCGAAATAATCCATCATCAGCAATTGCGTGCCATATTCTAAATTCCGGGCACATCATTAACAGGGATGATGCATTCCGAATTATTTACAGTTCGGCTAACCGTAGATTACTTCGATATGCGGAAGCTTCAGCGATTGGCAGATTGAAACCGGAACTTTGTAGGCAAAAGGAAATGGTCGTTGCCCTACGTTTACCTTGGTGAAACAGTTTGAAATCTACTCGAATTTGTGTTTCAGTTTCTAGGATTCAGCTATTTGCTTCATTTTAATTAATTGTTACTGAAGTATGCACCTGATGAGATACAACGAAATATGCCAGGCAATAAATTGTGCAGTCTATTGTTTGTGTCTTCTTTGTTCAAAATTAAAATACTCAAAATTTTAAAACAATAAATGGTGGTCCAAAGGACTTTGTGTATGGAAGCTCGCTCTCCTTCGAGATACGCCTAGCCAGATCAAAGGGAGACAGAACAAACAGGAAACACCAAGAAAGAAGAAGGAAGACATGCACCAGTGACAACAGGACGAGCGGTTTGATTAGGATGGAAGCATCAAGCCCAGAAATGGCACAAACACTAATATTCAGTCACGAAAGTGACGCAAATAACTCAGACCACAAATATAGGCGGAGACTGTTAGCAGCCTAGGCTATCTAGCAGAATCTGAACGTGGTCGAGCTTTTCTTTTTTTTTTTTTTTTCTTAAAAGGACTTGGACTTGGACATGGTGTATGTTCACCAGCTTACCATCAATCTAAAGTTGATTGATTAAAGCACTCATAAAACACCTTTGCTGTTTATATCAGTTATATTTGATCCCTGTTGATATCTTACACCTACAATTTCATTGTGTATGTTACTTCACACATGCTTCTGGGAATTGAAAGAGTTAAGCCGA